TTCTTGCCACTTTTGAGAGCAGCGTGGGATAAGGTCCTATGACAGTTTAAAGTGGTATCAAATTGCTTTATTTCTGCAGATCTGTGGCAGGTCTGTTCATTTCCAGACCTTTTATATCTCAGCAACACTCAACAAGAATGTTTAAAAAGATGCAAACAATCCATAAGAGGCTTCTTATTTGTAAAACTTCATGCAATGAGGCAGTGGCTGCCATAGATTAGCTATATGATCTATGCAATTTATGCCATTTCTACAATAATGGTTCTCAGAAACTGGTAGAAAATATCTTACCATACCACAAGGGAAGAGGAATTTTTTGCAGTTCCTCATTGTTGTGTGAAAGAACAGAACAAGCATGGATTTACACACAAAGCCATAACCAGCTGTATCTTCTGGTGCTGCTTCATTGCACATAGAAAAATAGCTGTTGTGTCCCATTTTAAGATCAGTATTTTCACTGTGCCTTTTAACATGCTGCTGATATTGCCAACATTAAATTTTTGCATTTTGGGGCTACATTCTGGAAGTAAACCTTCCCTTCTCTTTCAACAGATCTATTAATTTTTAGCAAGCAACAAGTCACCTATAAAGCAGCTAAAATCAATCTCCGACTGTTTTAACTGTTAGCTCTTTCTCTTCTGGTAAGCTCCTACTTTCTCTGAGGTGCTTGTATGTTTTCTAAAATTGAAGAATTATCAACTCCTTAACAGCCTGCGGTGTAAAACATATTTTAGGAAAATGTAGTACAAATGATGCTGAGTAGAACAATGGTTCTAGAAGAGGTCTTAACATGATGTGCCTCGCTTGAAGGAGAGGATGGGAGCAACTGGGAAAGTAACATGTTGCTAGTTTTGTTCAAAATGACAGTAAGAGATAATCAAAATTCATGAGATGTAAACTTGACAGTCAGGAAGTAGCTTAACATGTTTGTGTTCTACCTAAATACTAGATGAAAATACTGATTTCAGTTAACTTAAGGCCTTTGCAGACTGCCAGAAATAGTGCAAATTGAGTCCA